CACATACAAACAAAGATGTTGTGTCGGCCGATAACTAAAAAATAAATATTAAAATTCTCTCTCTCTCACTCTCTCTTTAAAAAAAAAAAAAGAATATCCTGCTTTAAAAAAAAAAAAAAACAATATACAAAGGTTCCAATTTCTCCACATCCTGGCCAATACTTGTTACTTTATTTTGTGATAGTAGCCATCCCTGGTTACGGGTATGAAATGGTGATATTTCATCATAGTTTTGATTTGCATTTTCCCGATAATTAGTGATGTCAAGAAGTTTTTTGATCTACTTATCTCCACTTTGGAGAAATGTCTACTCAAATCCTTTAACCAATTTTTAATTGGCTTATTTTCTTTTTGATGTTGAGTTGAACTTCATCCATTGTGGACATTAATCTTTTGTCTAATATGTAATGGGCAAAAATTTTCTCACATTCTGTGGGTTATTTTTTCACTCCATTGATTGTTTCCTTTGAAGCCTTTGAGTTTTTCATTTTGCTCTATTCCAACTTATTTATTTCCTTTGCTTTGGCATCATATTCAAGAGCTCATTGCCAGATCTAAAGTCACGAAAGCTTTTCCCTTTTCTAAAAATTAATTTTATAGTTTCAGCTCTTATATTTAGGTCTTTGATCTACATTGAGTTAATTTTGTATATAGCATAGGAAGGTGTCTAACTTGTAGATATCCAGTTTTTCTAACATCATGTTGACATTCATTTTTTATTTATAACACAAAGCAATTCAAACAGATGGTCTCTTAAGTCCTTTCTGGCTTTAGTGTTTTCTGATTTGTTTCCTTGCATTAGTTTAAAATAACTACATTCCAGTTTCAAATTGTGTCTCCTGTTTTATTTTAGAATACAATGACTAACTCTATATTTACTTCATCTATGACATTTGTAATTACATCATGTTCCTATCAACCATGATTTTTCCAGAGTGAAGGATCCTTGTCTTAGTCTTTCCCTGTAGATCTGTTTTCAGACTATCCTGTGATCATTCTCTTTCCTCTTTGGAACTTTCTCCAATTTTATAATACCCTCTTTGAAGTGTGTTGATAAGTATTATGAGCAGTATTTTTAAAACAGGTACTGTGATTTTTATATAATATAAAGATGGTTTGTTTTACGATTATTTTCTATTTCAATCCCACCAACCCTTTGAGGGAAAGACCTACAGTGAACTCCAGGGCCCCTTTCTTGGTCAGGATCCAGAGCCCAAAGATGTTCATTTTAAATTCCAATATTTTAAGTTCATGGTTTTAAAAATGTGAATTTTGCTTTGAGGCTAGTATGGCATTTTCTTTGAGTCTGGAGCATGATCCATATGCACAAGTGATCTATAAATCTTAAAAAAGGGGTATTCGGATTGTGATTGAACCAATGTTTATGTGTGCTATGTGCAAGACACTGTTCCAGAAATAAGGACAGAAAAT